GATTAGAAAATATTAGGGAAAAAGGGAAGGAGCCTTGCCCTGGTTTCAGATATCTAATTAGACTCCCTCTCCCCAAAACCCCCCTTTAATAGTTGCCTGACAAATCGTAATCCAGATAAAACTTCAACACTTGCTCTGATCCTCTTAGCTTTATATTCTTGCAGAGCTCACTTTCAAGCTAAAGAAATATCATGCTAGAAACCCAAAATTAGTAAGAAAGAATAACTTTAGGGTTTTGTATTGATGCATAAGCTTTCTTTGCTTAGCAAATTTGGGGGATGTGTTTAAAGCATTTTGGTACAGAGTTATCAGTATTAACAAATCACTGCTATTTAGACAGCTTCACTGCCGTGATCCAAGTCATTTTGTCTTCTGAAGACAGACTGTGCAGTTCACTGAGAAAAAAAAAAACCAGAAAAACTAAATATAAGGTGAACGTCCATTATTGGAAGAATGGCTGAAATAAACTATGGTATAATGACAACATTGAATACTATTCAGTCATTGTAACAATGAATTAGAGATAGTCATAATGTATTCTTGAATGAGAAAAATATTATATGGAAAAATATCTGTAATAATGTGATCCCAGTTTTTAAAAAAAAAAGCAATGACAAAATCGCCTCTATATGTATGCTATTTTGCATGTATGTGTGCATGTGTATGTTCATATATAATTGTATGAACATGGAGAAAACCAAAAATCATACACACTACATTGTTAATATGAGTAACTGTAGGTTAAGGATAAAGTAATATGATGCAAAAAGAAGGAGAAGGAATAAAATGATTTACACACAAAAAAGTGGGGGAAAAGATCTCCATTTAAAATTAATATGGATAAGATAGTCATATTTATGCCTTGTAAAAAGAAGAAAAATCAATTCCTAATGTTGGAGGAAATGAAAGAAAAGAAAGGTAAAATTTATTGAAGGGTAATAAGCACTTTCAGAATGGCTTTCAGAATCTGTTCCTCCATGAAAGCAGTAAAAGCACTGCAAAAAATTATCAAAATCAAAATTTTCAGAACTTTGGGATTTAACCAAAAGCTTGCATCAATTAAGGAAACATTTTTATCAAGAAAAATATGTGAATTATAGTACGAACCATGAGTTCTGTACATTTTAACTTGCCCTATTCCCTTTATTCTCTGCTTGATGGTAGCCTTAAAAACCAGTGGCTTTGCAACCATGGTAACTATGAAAACTAGCAATCTAGGAGACAATGGAGAAAGAAAAACAAGTTCGAAGCTCCAACAAAAGCCATCCCCACAGGATTGTCACCATTTAACCTATCCGGAAGGCCCTTGGTAAGGATCCATTGCCAGGGCTAGTCTTACTTGACCTGATTCAGAGCTTTCTCTATTCGAACATCTCTATCCCCAGGGTGCTTGTTGAGCACAATCTGTGACAATTGCTTAATATCACAACTAGCAGAAGAAAGAACACCTGTTGGTAATAAGAGGCCTACAAAAACCTTAAAAGAAAAAACTGGAGAATGAGATGTCCAAAGGGGCCTTTGAAAAGTTCTAACATCTATGTCTTGGGATCTTACAAGGCCAAGTACATGTGCAGGGCTGTGCCCATATCCAAGATATGAGAGGCCAGTCACAAAATCCACATATTTATTGTATGATGCCCTTTACGTGGAATGTTCAGAATGGGCAAATCCATAGAGACAGAAAGTGGATTAGTTTTGGACACAGGCTGAGAGAATAAGAAAATGAGGAGTAATGGATCCAGCATTTCTTTCTGCACTGATGAAAATGTTCTAAAATTAGATAGTGGTGACGGTTGTACCACTCTGTGAATATATTTTTAAAATACTGAATTGTACATATTAAAAGCATGAATTTTATAGTGTGCTGACTTTATCTAAAAAAAAATACTTTTAAGTGAATGAGAGGTATGATGTGTTTTTATATGATAGAGAAGATTTAGAAGCTGGTTACCAAAGAGCATATTGAGAGAACAGAACATTTCAAGTTTTCAGTGCATTAACCCACTCTCTCATCACTTTAATTCCTGATCAGAGTTCCTAGGTTATTGTATGGTGTACCATATTATTTTTAACCCAAAAGCTCTTGGCTGGTTAATCAGCAATTCAATCTCTTTCCTTAAAAAAACATAAAAATATGTATGTTTAATATTTATAAAATATATAAGGAGAAAAAGTGAAAACAAAAATACAAATGCAGAAAAATCCCTTGCTGAAATATAGCATGAAAGCTAACTCAGACCTTTTTCCTTTCCATAGTACCATGGGTTTTCAAAATGAAACTAATGAAACTCCAGAAGTAACAGATGTCACATAAAGCCTATTTCACATGTGTAAAACCTAATTCTGCTACACAGAGAAAAAAGGGGGGGTGGGGTGGGTTCTGGTTAAAACTTTACAAATTACTATATTCTATGCTTTGTCATGATATTAAGGATCCCCAGGAGAAAATGTCTTAAGGAAAGACTATTTCCTGGTACCTTTGCCAGGAGTTCTCTCCTTGATTTCCTACCCAGGATATTTGGGTAGGATAGAATGTCTGGCTACTGTATTTTTGAACTGAAGTAGACTTAAATAGCTTTTACATATGCCTGGAATTTAAAATGACACTTTTATTAGAGAATACTTTAAAAATAAAGCAAATTCTATGCTAGGTGTTAGTACAAATATAAGGCATTATATGATACTTTAAATAGAATTGTTTAAATACATATCAAGTGAAGAAGTATGGTTAGACATAACTAAAAAAATGATAAATCAGATTACTGAAATTTGAAATGATTATACTTCATTTATTTATTCATTTGACAATTATTTTATTGATCATGGAATATACTGCAGTAAAGAAAACAGACTACTATTCTTCTAGAGTTTAAAATTTGCTCAGTAATGCTCTGTTACTGCAAATAAAATTAAATGAGGAAGCATGAAATGCTAGAAAGAGCACTGGTTTAGGAGCCTCAAGATCAGGATCCCAATTTCATGTCCACCAACTACTAGACAAGTGATATTGAATATGACAACTTAATTTCCCTAAGCCTTAATTTCATACCTTGGAAAATGGTGTATATTACCTCATCAGTTAATTGTAAGAATCACACAGAATATATTCAAACATGCCCTGAAAACCACCAAAAGCTCTATAATCACAGGCTAGCAATATTATTAAAATGTATGAAAAACAATTGAATCCTTTGTAATAAACAATTCTAGTTAATATAGACAGTCTGGTGGGGGTCTGTGTGGTCAGACAGTAAAGCTCTATGCTGTCAAGTACATTAACAACACAGAATGACACATATTCGAAGGTTTCAGCCTTTATTTAATTATTTTAATTTCGCTAGGATTTCCTTTACATGTCAAATTACGTTCATATTCTCAAGCAATGTTCCAGCCATAGAAAGAGAAAATGAGTCAAACAGACCTCCATCAAACTTCCAAACTGAGCAACGAGTACCATATGTTTCTTTACTTTTCAGGATACAGGATACGTGTTTGTCACCTCTACTTGAATCTTAGCAAATAATGAAACTTTCAAAATAGAAACAAATTCACTTAGTAAAATAAAATAACAATGGCCATAATTGCAACCACATTAACTGGACTGAGTTTTTGCTTAAATTACTTTTGCACTTCTGATGGGAAAATATTGTCCTATTAATGGAGTGCTTAAGACATGATCAAAATATTAAAAACCTTGAAATTAAACTCATGAGGAAAATAAATTTTACTTGGCATAATTCAGCATTACTGTCAGGTAATAAGCACAAATCCGTATGAATCACTGGTGAACAACAAGCATAAGAAACAGTTAATACCTATAGATGCTGTGTGAAACAGTGGAGTCCAAACAGTCTGTCTCTTTGGACCTAGAGAAATAGAATAATCCCGCTTTTTTTTCAGACACTGGCAAACATATACCATGATTGCTAAGAGTCAGCTTAATCCTTCCCTTCCTGGCTCGGAATGAAAATGAATACTCCTTCCTAGACCTCAGTTCTGATTTCCCTTTGTGGGTTTTCGTGAAAGAGGGAGGAATAAACTAGAAAATGATCATGGATGGTTGGGCTTTGTAGAAGTTTCAATCACATAACTTTGTTTTAGGAAGTAGAAAATAATAATCAAGACAACTGCACAGAAAGTTCTTACAGTGACGTTGGTCTGATTATGTTTTATCAGTACTGGCTGGATCAGAGCCCAAGCTCTTTGGCACTTTCCACACAAATCCACTCCCATCAACACTCTAGAAGCTTAGTAACTTCACTAAAAAATCTGAGGGGTATTGAGGAATAGAGTCACATTCCAAAGAATATCATCTGCCACCATATAACTGACCCCATTTCCACACTTTCTGTCTTCTCTTTCTCTCCCAGCTCTTTTACCGGAATAACTGACAAATCTCTCCATTTGTCCTCAAAAAAGAGTTTTGCCCATGCCATTTTCCTTAAGCTGTGATTATTTGTTAGTCACCAACATACAAAATAAGTTGCATAGCCAATAAAAGAGGAAGGAAAAAAGAACACATGGACACATCAAAAGCAAAATGGAAAATAGCTCCTATTAAATCACCTGGCATTCTATTATAGAGTTAGGATCCCTCCTACAAGGTACCAATAACAAAATAAGTAACGTAACTTACTTATTAATTTAACCACCTCAAATTAAGTAACTTAAAACGTCAAAACAGAAGCACAAATTTTCAGAGGTGAACCACCACAAAATCAATGCCATTATATTAAAGCAAACAGCATACATTTTATGCCTCAGAAATGTTGAATAACACTAATAGATTTTCATTACTTATGTCCCTGTCTGGATGGCTGGGCTGATGGCATTTTATGTTTAGAATAGGGCATCCCACTAGGCCAGATAAGTGAGAGGAGCTTTGCCTGTGTGACCAGTAAGTGACTGTGAATTAAGAGCATCCGTTGCCACACTTAAAAATCTACCTATGGGTTCCACAGACATTAAAGGACACGCACCTTCAGCACTTTCAGACTTACTTGTGTTCTTGTGATTTTGGTCCCTTGAGAGTGAAATATTCTTGGTCCAGGCTGACATGTATTGGTCAGGATGTGTAGCAGATGTCACCTCGCTCTCATTATAAATCATATTTCTAAGAATAATATCAGGCGTACGGTTTTTACCATCAGTGGCCATAGGTTCACTCCCATTTGATTTAAAATGGGCTTTTTTTAATGTTCCTGAAAGACAAAAATAAAAATAAAAATATATACTTTAAAACATTACTAGAAGCATTTATTTTTTAAAATATTAGGAAAACTCTAGAGCTGCTTCACCACGTCTCATCCTATCCAGGCACAAAGAGAAAGATGATGTCTAGCTAACACCATTACCCACTTCTTTGGGACAAACCAGTAGAGCTTCTCTTCTATAGCAAATCACATAATGCTGTGAAAAAAATGATTGCTTTCTCAAGAGCTTAAAGTTCATAAAGTGGTCTCCCATCTAGGTTCTCGGTGCTCCAAGAATTTAGGGCAATTTCACCTCCTCTGAGATTCACCACAAATAAATAAAGTAAGGTAAATCTTACAGTGTTTCTTTTCTGCTTTCTGTTTCTCAATTTCACCCACTACTTTATGTTATTCAGCATCCAGGTCCCATGCTGTCATATCTCTATATCTACCACCAAAGGACACAATAGTCCTTCCTTATACAAGCTTATATTTCTTCACATTTTGCACTATATTTCAGTGAACTATGTATAACAGAAAAATAAAAATAATAAGGCTCATTTATGCATCAGTACTTATAGAAACCAATAAAAAAAAAAGTGAAGTTCTAATTTCAGCAAAACTAAAAGAAACTAAATTATCTTCATCTTTAACCAGAAGTTATAAAATATACTTATAAGAAATAGACATTTAAGATTATCAACAGTCACTTTCTCAAAGTATTCATTCATTGACAAAATAAAGAGTCAAATCTGACTTTTGGGAATCATCTAGCTTTGACGTTAGGCAGAAACCTTTGAAAATTTTGAAAGAGATACATATTTTTAACTCAGCCAAAATAGACAACAGACTGTTTCCAGAACATAGCAATGTAGCTGAGTATGCTACTAAAATAAATGAATGTGATATTGATCCATTATAGAAATACTCAAGGGAGATTTTTTTCTAAAAACATTTACAGCAAATGCTCTAATTGGTTCTCACTTTTTCAAACAGTCCATGGACCATTAAAAATAAAAAATATAAATAAAATGTTTAATATCAGTCTATGGAAAAAATTTCTCTACATGTGTTTGACACTTGGAAAACATTAACTACAAATCAAAATAGAAAAGCAGCTGTTTTCTAGCCAACTAAGGTCAACAGTTTCATCTGCGAGGGGATTCTATATAAAACATTAGAGCATTAAAGCTAAATCATGACCATGTGGTGCAGGTAACACACTCTCCAAACTGTCTGTGTGATTCTGAGTAAATATCAAATGCAGTAGGTGAAATGAAAGACTTCATTTAATTGTTTTTATTTTCAAAATGATTTAGAATTTATCCTGTATCTTGTGATAGACTTGACTACTATATAATATGCATTTCATTCATACAGAAAATTTTACTAATCAATTATATAGAATTTAGTTTTTACTCATTTGTTAGTTGTTTCCTTCTTTACTTGTTTTGGCATAAAGAGATATTTCACATAACATGTCTCCACCAATGTGGCTCTAATGAATATGTAAGGCCCTTAAAGTTGATTTATTTATCATGCTAACCCTGTGAGTCAGGACCCAGCTCTGTCTTACTTTTAGCAATGCCAATTCCTCCTAGTTACATCCCTGAGTAATCACTTAAATGGAGATTCTTATTGTATAAAATATCCAACAGTTATTCTTAACATTTTGTTTGTAATAATTAGCCTTATTAATCTTGCTTTATCTTTTTCATCTAACCACAGTGATGAATGTGTTAATAACATCTCTTTACTCAAAGAAGTCCTTTAAACATCTACTTTCTTAACAAAAACACTGACTTAAACAACTTTAACAAAAGCAGCTTCCTTGCTCTTAAACTCTATATACAAAGCAGGCTTGCGAAATAGAGAGAAGGAATACATGATACATGAAATTGCTATAGCTAATGTCCATAAAGTATATTTTTGGGAGAGACAGACAGATAGACTAATAGAGAAAGATAGAGAGAACAAGCCTAAAGGACCTGTCCTTAAAAGCCTGAACTCACTAGACAATTTGTTTTCAAGCATCTCTGGAAACCGACCAACTCTCAACTCACAGTTGTTTGTCTATTATGAGGGTTTTTTTTAAGCACAAAAATTAGATTTGAATAAGACTAAGTATTCTCAAGCTATATCACGATGAGCTATAAAAATGCTGAGTTATTAGCCCAAGTAGAGTGTTCATTCTTCCAGCGTTGCTCCATCCTTTTCCACATTCCTATTGTTATAGTGTTGTGGTTAGATGTATAGGTACTACAGCCTGACCACCTGAGTTTATAACCCATCTCTAGCACTTTGGGCAAACTCTCAACTTTCATAAAATAAGAAAAAAAAATAGTACTTCCCTTCATGTCATTAGAATCAAATTGATTAATACATATATAAACACTTGCAACAGTTTTTGACACACAATAAGTTCTAAATAACTTTTAGTCATTACTACACAATGATAGTAATGAAAGTAAAATTATTTTCCTTTGGGCTACTAAGGTACTTTTAAATCAATTCCAATTTCCTTTTACTATAAGTATATCCTAACATAACAAAATGGCTAAGGAAATTTTCAAAAGTGAATCACTTAACCCACTTTTGGAGTGAAATAACTGTGGCTCTTTTATGCTAAATTATTAATAAAAGACCACATTATATCAAGGTTATGTGGCTCAAAATTGTTTCAGCCCTATAACACAGCTCTACTTAACAATGTATAAGAAATTTCTACAATTTCAATAATATTAGCCAGGCTTTACCAGTCACCTACAATGAATGGATTGAGCCCTGTGGTTGGCAAAATAATGCTGCCCCAGAGGTGTCCACATCCTAAGTCCCAGAACCTGTGATTATGCTACCTTACATGCAAGAAGGATGTTGCAGATGTAGGTTAAGAAATTTGAAATGATAAATTTATCTTGGGTTATTCAAGTAAGCCCAAGGTATTCACAGGGTCCTCATAAGCAGAAGAGGAAAGTGAGAGTGTGTGCCAGAGCCATGCAGTATGAGAAAGACTCAATGGGCCAATGTTCAGTTTGAAGATGGAAAAGAGCTGCAAGCCAAAGAATGCAGGAAGCTTCTAGAAGGTGGAAAAGATAGGAAACGGTGTCTCCTAGAGCACCTAGAAGGAATACCAACACCTTAATTTTAGCCTCGTGAGAACTATTTTGGACTTTTGACCTCCATAATTCTAAAGTAATATATTTGTGCTGTTTTAAGCTACCAAGTTTGTAATAATTTGTTACAGCAGCAATAGGAAAGTAATATAGGCACCTTGCTAAGTATCCTCACTATAAGCATCTACTAAGTTAACCTTCCGACAACTCTAGGAAACAGATGCTACAATTAACTCTACTTCATGGAATTTCAAGAGAAGGAAACTGAAGTCTATAAGAGTTATTTAACTTACCCAAGAATTGAGTTGGAACATTGCAGATACACATGCATATATACCCACAGATACTTCTCACTTTAAACAAGGTACACAGGTTAAAAAAAATCAACCACCATATGCATGAAAAAAATTTTATCTTCCTATGACGTGAGTTTGAAGTTAATTTAATTCCTATCTTTATGTCTCTAGCCATGTGGTAACACATTTATTTTGCATCTTCTATATGCCAGGAATTTTTTATTTACTCTCTGCTGAGAACACAAAATCTAGTAAGGAGTTCTTATCATCAAGATTAGTTGAGGGAGACAGCCATGAAATCTAAAAATACAAACCATGTTACAAGTGCTTGGAGAATGATTTGCATAGGAAAATCTGGTGACAAAAGTAGAGAAGTAGCTGCCATTCCATTTGAGAAAGTCAGGAAAGGTTTCTTCGGGGTGAATGATACTCAATATGAATCTTAAAAGATGATTAGCGGTCTTCTGGGTTTGAGCAAAGCATTTGTGGGAAAGAGGGAGGTGTGGTAATAGGGAATGGAGAACTTTCTAGATAGAGCAAAGTGGGAAAGATATGCAAAAGCCTAGCAGCAGGTAATTAAGCATGGCTAGCACACAGAGGACTGGCCAGAGAAAAGGGAGAGGGAGGATAAGCCAGTCTGTGAAAGGCAGTTCCTGTTAAATGTTTGGAATTGATCTTGCTGTGATGGAGGACTTTTGAAGTATCTGAAATAGAGTGGAACATTAGAATGATCACTCTGGCAGCAGCATGATACTTGAAAGAGGTCAAGTCTAGAGAAAGTTATAAGGCTACTCCAAAAGTCCAAATGAGAGAAGAGTAAGGCCTGACCCAAGGCAAAAGCAGTGAGGATAAAAGGAATAATTGAGAGAAAGCTTTCAAAGGCAAATTTGTGAGAAC